ATGAAACTGCTCATACCGATCCCTGGGTAGTCTGGGCTGGAACTACCATTCGAACACCTGGAGGAAGGGATGTCACAGTGACGGGGGATTTCCCAGGCTGGCTGGGACGAACTGTGACAACAGATGCGCCTGTTGCAGACTGCTGAGCTGCAACCTTTAAAACTGCTGTAAAACAAATGAACCAAATTATTCACACCTTGTAGAATTTGGGTTGTTGCAGTTGCTGAGCTTCCTGGTGTGGTAACAACAATGCAAAATTGTAATACCTGTCTGTGGTAAGCTCTGAGCCGACGGTGCTGCAGCAGCTGGCACTGGGCTCTTTGGAGAGTTAAGCGGCTGCGATGGGGTTGCGCTCATAGCTGGAGAGGCTGCAGCTGGAGTTGCAGGAATGTCATACTTCTGCAGCTGCAGCAAGTATGTGTCAGCTGTGGAGACTGCACCCCAACTCACCTCCAGAGAGTTTGTGTTGGCACGGACTAACTGCACCCTGGCAGGGGCGTGCGGTCGCTCTGGGGGGGGAGAGCAGAATTTTCAATACTATCTAATAACGAGCTGTTGTCTCCAACAGCACTCATGTTACAACACACCTACCTGTTTCCAGGTACCACAGATCTTTACAACAGACTTGGTTGTTCCAAGCTTTACGATAACCGTCACGGCCACTCCATACATAAAGCCTGGAATTGATAGCCACAGCACAGTGACCAGCACGGGCCCTGGGGATGTTGTCTTCAAGAGTATCCATCAACACTGTTTCCCAACACATGGTGTCTAACGAAGAATTACACAAAAGTTAAGAGTGGCACTGCACATTTGCTATTTAAAAAACAAACAAAAAAAATATGATTTCAATAAAAACAGAGATAGACAAACCGAGGTTCAAGCACGCAAGAGTGTTTGTGCATTTCCACTCTTTTTCGTGTGTGGCCACTTTGACATCATCCATCACCAAAGGTACCCATCCTCCGAAAACATACATCCTGCACAGAGAAATGAATTCGCACTTAGACCATTTAACAAGCACAGAATTTCAAAAATGAGTAAAATAAAAATTAAGTTTGCTGTTGGAAATGTGCAGCAGTCATCTCACTTGTTTGTGATGGTGGTAGCAGAGTGAAGACTTCGAGGAAGTGGCGCTGTGCCGCTTACTGATGGTTTGTTCCATGTCAGGGTATCTGGAAATTAAAAAAATAAAATCAATAAAAGGTTATCTATTCTTAAATGCAAATAGATAAGGCAGCTTGTGTACAGAAAACTCACAATTTCCTATATTGCTTCTCTAACAGTGAAATGCTCAGTTCCATTTGTTCTGATACTCTGTGAATCGCATCATGTCTCAGAGGGCTGACGGCAGGGCATTTCAATTTTAGTGTTGTTATTTCTCCATTTACACTTTATAAAACATACCAATGTCAAGTGTCCATAGATCTCCAAGACGGCAACCGCTCATTCCTCCATAGATTATTAAGCGCGACTTCCTGGTTGCCTTCTCTGTGTATACCACAGCAGTGTGGCTCTCACGAGGAGGAGGCAGGACTCCGTATGTGATCGGAATATCCCATCCAACCACACTGGAACCTGCACGAAGCTCGAGTGTGTACAGATCATTCAGGTATCTGATGAATAAAAACACAGTGACACTCACGTCGGTGGCTGAAACAGAAAAACATTTGCAGTCCTGCAAAACAGTGCTCCCCTGATGACTGTTCAGAAAACCTCTGTACCTGGGAATGTTGTTTTTTGGGTCTTCGCTGTCATTGGCGAGTCCACCAAACAGGTAGCATTTGTTGCCAACCAGTGAAAAGCTGTGGCCAAGACGAGGGCAAGGAGGGGGGCCATTCTTCGGGTTTTTTGCTTTTAATTTTTTCCATTCCCATCTGCTGGCCTGTAGCAAAAACCACAGTGGAAAAAAACGATCAGTCGATGGATGGCAGCATAAGCTGTAACTAACAAGTCTTAAGCTGACCACATTCCTTGTTCTGACAACATAAAAATAAGGACAGATTTAGTATCACAATTGTGACTGAACCCTTACATACTTTCCCCCCCTCATCAAGTCCACATTTATTTAGTGTTTGTTTACAGAGCTACTCCATTTCCCAATGATTAAAAATCCACCTGGGATCTGGTGACAAAGACTTTTGGCACACTGCTTCCTTACATCCTTTAAATCAGAAACGTAACATTTGAGAACTTCTCAGGATCGGTTAATGAAATTTGGCAAACCCAAACATACTAGAAGAGCAGAACAACGTAAATTGTAACCTTTCTACTACAGTTTTAAGAATAAAGACACATTACTCCTTTAATGTATTTTCTCAAGACTAGCACAACCAATGAAACCATAAACTTTGCAACACACTTGTGTGCATTTCACAAGTCATCATAGTTTCAATGACACAACCTTACTATAATGCTGTACAGCTGAGCATTGAACACTCAGTAACACGTATAGTGATGAAACTTACAAGTGACCTTGATTTTAATTGTAATAATTTGCCTGTTCTAGTAAATATTTTAACTGTAACAGGGGTGAAACATAACTTTGCAATCAACTTTCTCAATTTTTTCCTGTATCAGTCATCTCTGATGCAGACAAGACAAAATTTCGCATGCAGCTGATAAAGACACTTTGCAGTACGATGGCCTACATATGAACATTGCCTTGTAAATATCTCTGGAAAATCTGACTTAGATACCAGCTATATTTTGTTGCTATAAAAACTTTACAAGCCTTCATTATACTGACAAGCAAACTTAGTACGAAAACTGGGGTTATTTTTCAATAAAGGTTTACCTGTAGTTCATAAAGATCGTTGCTGTACTTTCCATACTCCACCATTCCACCAAATACCAGCAACCGTGTGCCATCACAGACAAAACCATATGCAGCACAACCAGGAGGGATATCACCACGGACTGCTGGGATAAACCACTGGTTTGTTGCTAAAAATTAAAACACAATAACAATAAAGGGGTTATTTCTGGAGGCTTTCCTGTGGCAAATTGTAATTAATAAGTAAAGACATGCTATCACACCCACTAAGGCTTTAAAATGCTTAAAAGTAGAAGCAAAAAATAACCCTCTATTTATTTTTGGAAACATAAACTTAAAATCTACATTAAAGAATGGGAACACAAACACAACTGCTGAGTCTGCCTGCCCTTATTGGTTTATAAGCAGGAAACTGGGGCAGGGGATATGCTTAAACCAACCAGCATCATCCATTTTATTTTAGCCCGCCTTTTTTAACGTGTATTAAAATCCTTCTCCGACAGGGGGGGCTGACTTCTGTTTGGCCTACTGGGGCCTGCAAGGCTATTTAGTTTTGCGCATTATAAACATATACTGAAATGAACTGTACTATTTTAGATGTAGAAGTACTTTGAGTTAGCCTTCTAAATATCTGAATTTTATTTGTAAAGAAATGATGCTTTCTGCAGAAACAATTGATAAAGTTCCTTATGCAAAGTTGCGCTTACCGGTGTTGTATACATGCAGCTCATCCACAATCCCTTCGTTTCCACCGCCGAAAACAACCATAAGCTCCTTTATAGCCACAGCTCTGTGTCCATGTCTGGGCCGGGGAACAGGACCAGACCACCCGAGGACCCGTTTCCATCGCGGCTGCAGAACCGACGCCGTGGTCCCAGATACCGCGGAGCCAGGGGCAGACATGACTTCTACCGAAATAAATAATAAAGACGCATTAGTCATGTGTGCTTGAATAGTTCTGTTATCTTTCCATAAAACCTATGCAATACAAAAATAGCATCTAACCGTGCAATATAGCTAACTTTATAGCAGGCTTTACAGTTAGCGGTTAGCTTTGATTAATGAACACTGTCAAAAAAAGACAAGAAAAAACAATAACAGCAATAAACTATATTTGTACAAAACCTTTCGAGCAACTTCTGCTTTATGGTCTCTTACGCAGTTATGACGTCGTACTTCTGTTAAGAATCATAGTAATTCTTGCCATTATCCAAGTTTATTATTAGTTGTTTCTAACCATTGAATTCAATCCATGGAAGCCGCCATCTTGCAACCAAACAAACACCCGCTAACGCTACTGCCCGTCGGAAAAATGGCGGAAGCAAACGAAAAATAAAAATACATGACAACTAACCCACTACATCAACAAAAAACAAGGCAGGATGAATACAAATCCAACAGGTGATTATAAGCCCGTGTTCACAAAACGATACACAGTCGTACCACTAATTTATCCACTACTGCAATCGTTAGCAACAGTCGGCTATTTTCATGCCTCTCTGGGAGTCGCCATATTGTAGCTAACAACTTTAGCATTCTTTGCAACCGCTTTACCGCAATTATCAACGTTATAAAAAATCCAAAGTTTGTGTTAATAGTTGCAAATATTATGGGACTAAAGGGCCAAACAACTATGAGACCTTTTACCCAGATTTACAAAAAATTTAAAGTTGCAATCGCGGCATTCAAATTCTCATGTTAGCCGTACCCCGTTAGCTCTAGCGGCTAGTTACTCAACCTAATTTGCTCGAGCTAACGGCGTTAGCTGGCATCTGTCAAAGCGCTGCCGAATTTCTCAATTAAATTCAACGCAATTTAAAGTTTCTCTGTCGTGCATAATTTACCTGATACAAAGGCAAGCTCGGCAACGGTCTTAAAACTGAGCTAAATTGAGTTAAACAGCATAAACACAATGTTATTATGTTTCATGCCGTCTCTGGAAGCAGCCATCTTTTCAACAATCGGCCTAAGTCTACAGCTCCCACAAGAAAAATGGCCGGGCGGTTTGCTACAACAAAACACAACACAGCGAAAAGGGCACAGACGCTTCAGAATTTTACTCACTTATTTCGATGCAGTTATTGCAAAAACACAGATATGTGCTCTAATCTTGCGGCAATAATCCAAATTCATTCGATTTGTGAAGAAGTATTTCCTCTCATGCCTGCCTGGAAGCTGCCATCTTCTTGACAACCAGAGGCGGAGGAAAATGGAAGAGAGTTGGCGTCACCCAAAGTAAACATGGCGACAAGGACCCACTTGCAAACCGTTTCGGAGGTAAAGGTATATACATTTTTTTTATTTTTGTCAATCTGTGTGTGCGAATCGTGCAGTAAGTACCAGTGTACTTTTAGGAACACTGCAAATCGATTTAAAGTAAACACGTTACGACTTTGCGCGAATTACAACAAGTTGTGTTATAGGAGTTGGGTTATTGTCCCTTACTAAAGATGGCGACACCCGTACCGAATCTCCTTTTATTTTAATTTTGTATGCAATTCTGATTTTATTCCCCTCTAAATCTACTTGTATATGCCCACAAATTCTCGACAACACCGCACGAGCAACAATTTACAGACTTTGCGCTCGCATATATTAATGTTGACACGCCCACGCCCCCCTTTAGCGCGCCCTCCACTGATACAAATACTCTACTACAATGGCTTCAACATTAAAAAAAAGCGTCCCTGGTTTTGACATCAATATGTTCAGCCGTAGGATAGGCGGAAGACAATGGATGGATGATGGACGGATGGATGTTCAGCCATATTCTTTGATGTCAACCTAAAAGACAAGTGAATGTACGCTCCAGGTAGCGAAATAAAACATAGTTAAAAAGTATTTCGGTTTATGACCGAGACAACAAATAAAGAAATGATTGTACATTATGACCAATACTGCAAAACAGATCACATCATATTTAGAGCAACTCAGATTTAAAACACAACATATATACACAGTACTTTGTCAAAGTCTTGAGATACTATTCATTTATTTATATCTTGTTAGGAAAATGGTAAATCCATACAGAAACATGTATTTTTGGAAATACTATTTTTTTTAAAAGGCAAAAAAAGTTTTTTCAATTGTACCAAGCTTAAAAGTCAATATTTCAGATGACAAGCTTTATTATTTAATACAGCCTTAACTCTCTTAGGCAAGCTTTCCTGTCATTTCATTGCGTAGCCTTCAGGAATAGTACTTCCAGGCTATTTGAAGAACATTCAAAGCTCCTTTTTTGGACCATGGCTGCCCTTTGTTCTCTTTTAATAACCACACATTGCTTCAATAACTGATAGTGTTGTATTCTGTGTTTATCTATCCAGGTGTGCTTTTACTGTGCTGGCAGTGTGACAAAAAAGTCACTGCCAGATGTAGAAAGTCTGGCTACCTGGAAGCAAAATATAAAGAAATAAGTGTGGTTCAAGCATTTTAGTTTGGCAGACTAGTGCCAGATATCCGGGTAACCAGCAAGAGAAAAAGGTGAGCGAGTATTAGCATAATTCTGACTTTTTGCAGGTTGAATTCGTTGCTGCGAAGATGATAAGTTAATGTGGCTTAAACAGTCATTGCATGTTCTGATGGGCTGCAAAGCTATCCTCAGCAGTAGGCCTGGACTTCTTCTTCTTTTTCTTCTTCTTCAAAAAGTCTGCGCAAACATTTTTTTAAATTATTATTGCCAGACTACTTTATCATCCATTAGCTGGTTGGCAGTAATTCAATCTGTCTCTTTTTACACTACAGCTTTATTTCTGCTGCATGTGGGGTGCTTACATACACCTTAAAGACTTTAGGTTCCGAGTACCTGAACCTGACCTCTGACCTTCTTCCTAAAGAAGGCCAATAATAAAGAAAAAAAAAACATATTTCATGATATGAAAAGTAGCTGCCCTTTTTTTGCAGCACTATGTTAGTCCATTAGATGGCAGACTTACACTACTGATTTTCTTCCTCCATCAAGATTTTTCTTCCTCCTTTTCAGTGCCTTTTGTCTGTCTGTGTACAACATTAAACAAAACTGTACACATGTACATGTACAAATAAACATGTACACATATAAACTGTGTTTATTTGTAACAGGCAGAAAGACGGAGGTTTGCGTGCTTGTCAGAATCAGAATCGTGTTTATTGGCCAAGTATATGTGCAGACACATACTCAAGCACAGCAATGTAAATCTCACACACACACACACACACACACACACACACACACACACACACACACACACACACACAC